TGGGTCCCGAAAATTCTTCAGAAACAGAGAAATTATCGCAGCCACCGGCATTTGGGCGATCTGCTCGATCTGATAATGTTCCCCTGAATGTCCTAATTGATCAGTACGAGAATTTCTCTAGAGTTCTCGTAGATAATTTCTCTAGTTTCTGAAGAATTTTCGGGACCCATGCTCTTTTCATACTGGATGGAAATATATGCAAGGCACACATCCTCAACGCAAGACACCTTTTTCGGGACGAGAAATAGAATATCTTTGCCTAGGGTGATCGTTGGGCTGTAAAAGCTCCTGATTTATGCTCGTCTCAGCCCAAGCTACGGAACTGCTATTCCAGTTCAAAACCCATGTTAAAAAGTGAACTATTTCCTTTAAACATGGTTGCGGGTGAGGGGTAAACGCGAGGCGCCGGTTTACTCGCCGGCCTCGGGTTGAATTGTTTTCAGTGCATGATTGGTATAGCGCTCGATGACGGATACTTACTGGGAGTTCATAACCGACTGGCATCGAGTCTGCTACCGCTTATTTTGTTTTGCTGCGGAACAAATTCACTTGACCTGGAAAAGTCAATGCAGAGCAATGGGGTGATGGGACAGGACGTGAACATTGGACTGTGGCTGCGCGGACCACCGACGCGACGGTGCACCGCAGCGGCAGAGACCGCTACTGCGGGGGGGGGGACGGGAAAGTCCCGATGGCACTTACTGCCGCTCAAACGGTCGTTCCGACTTCCGAAGAGGATATAGTGTAAAGAGGACTTGTGCGAGAGGAAAGCGCGAGGGGATGCGGATGGGTCTGTCTGAGATAGACAAGGACGGTCGATTCTGCTACCAGCCACTCGTGTTCAATTTTCTGGTGCGCCAATGTGCTACGACCAAACTGCCTAGGTCAGTTGACAGTTGGTTGGGTCGCGCCGCGCCCTTGTTTGAGGGGTCTCCGCAGACTGGTGTGAACTGACACAGTCTGGCGCAGACTGATGTGGTCTGCAGTCTGTAGTCTGGGCAGACTGATGTGGTATGCAGTCTGCAGTCTGGTGCCGACGTCGCCCGTCACAAAGTCTGGTCACAATGAGCCGCGCAGCTCGCCGCTCCGTGCCGGGGGGCGCAGGTGGCGGCCGACCTCTGACCGCCCTCCGTGCCGGGGGGCGCAGGTGGCGGCCGACCTCTGACCGCCCTCCGTGCCGGGGGGCGCAGGTGGCGGCCGACCTCTGACCGCCGCGCCGTCCGGGGGACGCAGGTGGCGGCCGACCTCTGACAGCCCTCCGCCCCCGTCAGCAACACGGACACCATCGGACGTGATTCACCCGCCGCCGCTTCGATGACTGTATATCGGGCTTCGACGAACCGCCGAAAGCACGAGACGACTCTGTTAGCCATTTACATGCAAATGTCATTGAGCTAGCTTATTTTCGTATGACAAAAAGCAGGTAAATATGACGAATAACAGGTTACGGCCAACCTTCCGCGCATTCAGTGTGGCCAATTCCAGGAAAGACGGGGGGAATAGGGACTTATCAAAAATGATCCCTCTCGTGACTAAGGGTAACTCGCCATGGAAGAATACCCGCCAAGTCAGGTAAAGTGTCCCGTCTGAACGAAACTCTTACATATCGATCGAAACTCATAGGTATCCATACTAGCTAAATTTACAGATAAATCTTGAAATAGCTGTGAATGTTTGTTCCGGGCTTCCAGCCCTGCTTATGGGTTAGTTTAGCGGCCGAAGTTATCAAAGGAAGCTTAGCCAGTTTTTTAATTACAATTTGTGTAGCCGCGGCGGTAAATAACTACATGCACGGCTACATCACACGCCTACATCACATTTACATACATGTATATAGATTGGGTCATAACCAGTGTTATTCAACCACGAACAGGAGGGAACCACGGACAGGAGGGAAGAGTGGCCTCACTGATTCGGCCCTTGGCAGACGCCCTGCTGCGTCCACGCTTACTACATAGAACTGAGAGCATTGAGAAGCTGCTGCATTTTTTTTTTGCGCACAATGCATAAGTTTGCACGAATGATATCATAGGTCACTGAGATGACCATAAAATGAAAATAGGTACAGATAATGGTCAAAGGATCTGACATGAATAAAAGATCAGGTACATAGGTAGGTAGTGGGCTTTCATATTTCGCCAGCACGTTCCAAGCCAGGGCGAGAAAAAACCTGACTGATTAGAGATGCCAATCGGATACCGGCTTTTTGGTAACTATACCAATACCTTGAACCGACACCAACTTGGTATTTGGCATTTCAATGCGAGTGCATTTGGTATTTTGTTGGCATTATGAATTCTCACTAGCTGAAAGAGGCTGATAATAGCCGTTTTCACGACGGGCTATCCGGCGAGTGCACCTGATTTGACCAAATCTGCACCTAATCTCTTTTACAGCAAATATCTTCATTTTATGAATTCATTTCAGTGTTTTAATCGGTGATGCTCTCTGATAATACGACAAAGCAGGCATATAAGCAATTAGTGTAACCCTACCTGATGGCTACAAAGAGACACTAGCCGTTTTCACGACGGCCATCTGGTGCACATTTGGTGCACATCTGGTACAGATTTGGTGCAGATCTGGTCAAATCAGGTTCAGTGTGTCTCTTAGCAGCTATCAGCTAGGGTTGCACTAATTGCTTATATGCCTGCTTTGTCATATTAACCCGCGCCCCAGTGGCGGTCTCAGCCAACTTCGCCCTAGTGGGGGGGGGGGGGGGCATATGTTACCACCCACCTCTAACTCAAAAACTAAGAGGGATAGAAAGACGAGATAAAAAGCAGTCGATAGCTCTCAATGCGTACGTTTGAAAGTATTTCAGTCATTTTTCATCTTAGAGCAATATTGGGGTCACCAGAGGTCATCAAAGGTCAAAATTTGCCAATTGTCATTATAATTTTCAGAAAACATGTCATTATCTCAGGAACTATGGTAGCTAGAAAAACGCATGGAAATGCAACCGATAGCTTTTGAACTCTTCTTTTGATCAGGTCACTATCAAAATTGACCTCAGGTCAACGGTTTGGCCTCCAGAGGGCAAAAACTCCAAAAATAGCTGTTTTTACGAAAAGTGTTTTCGACAGTAACTTTCGACTACAAAAAGCCACGACATTTCTATTGCCAGAATCGTGTTCCTCTCGCCGAGACGCGTCGAATGAACTATAATTTGACCTTGAAGGGTCAATTTGAAAATTTGACCTCAGGTCAAGGTCATGAACTGACCGGAAAAGGTCATGTTGCATATCAGTCGATGCGTCTCGGCAAGACAAACACAATGAGACCATCCCCAGCGTTCTATCTCTTTCCAATCGCGAGTTATTGGCAAAAAGCTGTTTTTAGCCTCAAATGACCTCGGATGACCTTTCTAGAGGCTATCAGCAAAAATGACACCTTGGTCATCACGGGTGGCCCAAATCATTGTGATTCTGAAATATTTGGACTGTTCCTATGCGTACACACGGATCTAGAGGCATTTTCATTTTTCTCCATTGACTTGTAATGGAAAGGTCACGCCACTGACCTGACCTTAGGTCACGGATATAAAAAAATCCGAGATATACAAATTGTAGGCGCCCATAACATCATGTAATCCACCAAGTTTAAAACCTTTCCGACAAACACTGCAGGCTGGACATGATTGCAAACTTTTTTTAGGCTTGGTCAGTTAACTTGAGCTGGTGACCTGACCTGACATGACCTGGGGTCAAAAATTTCACACATTGTCCAAAATTGATGTACTAAAGCTACCCCAAGCGGCGCGGCGCTACGCGCCGCGGTTTTTTATTTACACGCAAAAAACGCGACAGGGTGGTAACATATGCCCCCCCCCCACTGGGGCGAAGGTTATCAGAGAGCATCATCGATTAAAACACTGAATTAAATTCATAAAATGAAGAAATTTGCTGTAAAAGAAATTAGGTGCAGAATTGGTCAAATCAGGTGCATTCGCCGGATATAGCCCGTCGTGAAAACGGCTAGTTTGGTAAAAAGTTGGCATTATACTCATATTCCCAAGTCGGTTTGGTATCGGTATTTTTCCATGGATATTGTTGGTATTTGGTTTGATATCGGCATCACGATGTTCCGTAATTGACATCACTTATTGTGATCACTCTCCTCTTCGGTCGACAACAGTTAAATCAGTGGTAACTAGAAAAATAATAGATAGGGCTACTGTGAATTTAGTTACAGAAGATAAAGATGCATTGAAAGATGTTTACTAGCGAGCACGATAGAAATATGCTACCACTCATTCTTTGTATCATCATTTACCTACAGGCGACTCTCCCGCGGTTACGGGTTGTGTCGTGGGTGGAGCATTTCCAGGAAAGTTGGAGGTGCAAAAAGTTTCCAAACCTACAATGTCTGATCGTTAAGTTGAATAAAATGCCACGCTGAATCAATATCTATCATTACAGAATACAGATACGATATTTTGCATTACACAGACATTCCAAAGCTCTTCAATGCGAACAAGGTTGATTTACAAAGCAACAAAGTCCCACAAATCAGCTAAAGTTGGTGGGGCAAACCGCCTATTGATGGGGCAGAAATCAAAATGGGAAGTTGGTGGGGCAACTGCCCCACTATTAACTGCATGGGAAGCTCCGCCCCTGGGTTGTGTAGCAGCTTCGGCCGCGTGTTGGTGCGGAATGGACGACAGCCGAGTGCTACAAAAACCATATGAATCGCGCTCCATTATCGGCCCAATGCTCGAGTACCAGCGACACGGCATGCCGATTTTTTCGCGTATACGGAGCTCCGTATCACTGCAGATCGCGCACATGGGCATTCTGTCAGCGGCGTCAGGGACGCTTATGGTCCGCCTATCGGCCCGGCTACCGGTTCTGCCAGACCGCTATTTATTCATACCAGCCCGTTCGACACGAAACACTGGGAAAACGTCACCGGGAGGCGCCCGGCGGGCAGTGTCCCCCCCCCCCCGGCCTTGGCGCCCGGCGGGCCTATATAAGTGGGCGCGTGCGCCCGGCGGGCAGGCACTTACCTGGACCTCCCTCCGACCCCAGACGGCCATCATGCGTGCTCAGGTAAGTGGCGGGACGCTCTGTGCCGAGCTGACACACGGTGAACTCAGTGGAACTCAGTGGAGCGACACAGTGGAGCTCAGCGGGACACAGTGGAGCTCAGCGGAACACAGAAGAACGCAACAGCCGAACACAGCCGAACAGCTGGCCTGGCTCGACTTGCTCATAATATATTGTCCAAAAGGGTCTGAATTTAGAAGGGCTATGATGGTTCTTTGATGCCATTAAACGGCATAGTAAAGAAATCACTTCAATGTTAAAAAACAAAACTTAAAAAGAAACATATTCTTTAGCAAATTAATAAAAACGCATGGTGTTCTAGAAGTTCTAGCAAGACCCGACTTTCTTAACATTTGGGTCATTGAGCTGACCTAGATGGTCGACCAACGACCTAGAACCTTAAAATGGATATTATATGAATAGGGGAGAGTGGTGCAAGATCCTCCCTTAACCCGCGACCGCCTGGGGGGGGGGGGTCGGATCCGACACCCCCTTCCGTTTTTTCTTGAATAACTCATGAACCGCTTACGCTATCAACTTGAAACTTATCATACCTTCTCCACCATCAATTTGACGTCTCCTGTGTAATTTTTAAGAAAATTTTCCAATTTTTGTTTGATATAGGTATCGATTTTAGTGATGTAACTTCATGGCGTTTTCAGTCAAAAAGTGGTAAATGTTTAAAAATCGCCAAAAATAAAGGTTTAAAGCAAATTTCAAATTAGGCGCATGAATAGACGCAGCTCAACGAGTTCTTTAAAATAGCCATCTCGGATTTTCCATAAAATGCGTTTTTCTTCCCTAAAAAATAAAAAAACTATACTTTTTGGAAAACAGCTAATAAAATCCAAAATTTTGAGAATTTCCAGAAAAACGAAATATATGTTATAGAGCTCTATTAGAACATTAGATGTCCCAAATTTCAACTTTCTATCTTAATTTTTGACCCCAAATTGTAAGAAATAGCTCCAACATGCATACTGCATAGGGCATGGTGACGTCATAAGCAGTTCCGTGAATTAGAGGCACTTCTGAACATCGCATGTGAAAACAAATGGCACCACTAGATTCCTGGGACAAAGCTCGTCTAGAAAAGTGCATTTTTATGTCAAAAATAAAAAGTTGAAAACTTGACTTTTTTCTTAGCCCTCGTTTAGTTATGTATGGTATAAACGATTTTTATACTTTCAATGCACACTTATCACCAGCACAGTGACTTGGGGTCACATATAACCATTACCATCGGATTCGGCGTGAAAAATAAGCCATAAAACATGTGTCGCACGCCCATGTAGCAGAAAGTGAAAACCGTGACCTTTCGTGACCTGACCTGACCTTGACCCGTACTTAGTATGACCCTTATACGCACATGGTAAATTCACTAGGTCTTTGAGGTCATTTTTGGTGAGTTTCGAGTAGCAGCTATCGATTCCGCTGTCCGTAAGCTTATCATGCAAAACCCCAGAATTTGACATTTGACCTGATCTTGAACCGAAAGTTGACCTCAATCTTAAAATCTTAACCCTCGCCCCGTTGGGGGGGGCATTTTGGCCCCCCCCCCTGTGGTTTTTCCTGAATAGCAAGAAAACGGCAGCGCGCAGCGCCGCCAAATTTTCAGTACTTTCCCGGGCATCAATTTGACACCTTCACACCAAATTTCAAGTCTTAGGTCACCTTAGGTCAGGAGTTATTGAGGTCAAACTGAGGTCATGTTCGAGCAAAAATGAGCAAAAAACATGCAATCTTGAAACGCTCACCATATCTACAGTTATCAAGCAATTTCAAAGTTCTTTATATGGTCTAGTAGACAAAAAAGCGGCGCTACAAAACTGCTATCTCGGATTTTCAAAATTTTTGGTTTTTGACAAAACAAAATTCAAAAAATTGATTTTTTAGAAAAACTTTGAAAAATCCAAAAATTTTCCGAATTTCGAAAAAACCGGAATATATGTGATAGTCCCAGCGCTCTTCTATATACATACCAAATTTCAGATCGATATCTCGTTTTTTGGCCAAGTTATAGCGAAAAAACTGTTCAAAAATGATGACGTCAAATTTTTGAACTCAATTTTTAGCAATTCTAGACCATGTAGGGGAGAGTGGGGCAAAGCGGCCACCCGGGGCAAAGCGGCCACCCATCGTTTTAGCCCTTCATAGCTGGCGTCAGTTCCAATTTATGGTTTCCAATTATCCTTCTCTTCACGGTCGTTCGAATGAGCCAGACCGGGGTTTCAGGCCCATCACCATTGTTCTGTGAAACACGGAAAAGCATTTCTTGCCAGGTTACCAACTATGTTTACAATTTTTAAATGTTATGTTGTTCCATAACCGTTTGGAATTTTTATAAGCATTCTTGTCCATGTATTGCATGGTTATCGTACATGTATTCTACCAATTTTAATGATTTTTACCCTACTAATAGCTAAGCTGGAATATTTTTGTCTCGGACGGTATGCGCGGGGCAAAGTGGCCGGGGCAAAGTGGCCACCCCCCAATTAGCCATAAGTTGTTTCCATCTGGATAAAAAACATAATTTATATTCAAATGTGTCTTCATGCATTCATCTTGGCCACTTTTCAGTTGCATGAGTTACCAAATAATGCAATTAAATGTTTTTTCATGAAAATCCTTTCTTTGTTTACCTACAGGTGGGATGCTGACAAAGCAAACATCCATCCTCCCTTAAACCTTGCCACCATCAAATACCCTAGTCGTACATGAGGCAATTATTTTGTTTCTCATATCGGGACTTGAGAAGACGCCGGTGGCCGCTTTGCCCCAGAGTATGGGGCAAAGTGGCCAATATGCATAGGTTTAAAGTTTTGTCAATATCTTCCATATGTGAACGCCTTTGGAAATAAAACGCGGTTGAAATAAAAGGCAACTTAATAGGGATCACATTGGTATAAAAAGGATCTTTCCAAGTTTAAAAATCAAGCGTTGGCATCGTGAGAAGCGTTAGGGTGGCCGCTTTGCCCCACTCTCCCCTATGGCAAAACAAAGACCACCATTGAACTTCCCGTGACGAGCTGCATCGATTCAATACCCATTTTATGCAAAAATATTAACTTTGAAATTTGACCTAATTTGACATGACCTCGACCTGACCTTGACCTGACCTTGATCAAAACGTGATCTAAGCTGGCCCCAAAGGCTGCCTGACCCATATAATCGCATTTGTCATGTAAAATGGACCATAAAACATGTATCACACGACACTTTCATATTGTGACCCCCCCGTGACCTGACCTCTGTGACCTGACCTGGTATCAGTGACCTCAAATAGCAAAATATGTGTTTGAAGAACATTTCCCCATCGATGATTTTCAATGAAATGCATTTTACTCGATTTTATAACGCATATCTTGAAGTGCCTGTAAACGGTGAAAATTGGACCTTTGACCTGACCTGTGACGTCATCGGTTTGACCTAGGTCAATAAAATTGGGTCACAAGGTAGTTCCCCGTTGGGGCTATCCAACGCCGTTTACCGCTTGTCGCTATGTTGCGTGGTTCTCGAGATCTTAGGGGGGGCAAAATGCCCCCCCCCCCCAACCGGGCGCTTTGCTCGGCAGAGCCCATCGGGGCGCGGGTTAAGAGTGCTTTGGGAAGGTCTCGTAGAGACCTTTCGAACGCCGCCTCGCGGGGCTCGATACGACCATTGGTTCTCGAGATAGCAGGGGGGGTCGGATCCGACCCCCCAGGCTGTCGTGGGTACGGAAATAGCCCAGGCGGTGCCGGGTTAAGTTCAGTTGCAATTTTTAGACAACTGATACCTATAGTTAAGAGCTAATGTGTGCATGCGCTGTGGCCTGTGAGCACTGAGCATGCATCATTTCCCAATATACATTTGCATTCAAAATGAATCTAGCGGACACACAAAAGGAAGACTAAAACATTTTGCAAAAAGCTGTTAAAGGGCCCCGTATATTAACCCGCGCACCAACGGGGGTCTGCGCCAACTTCGCACCGACGGGGGGGCGGATGACCGCCCCCCCTGAGATCTCGAGAACGAAGCATGATAGCGACAAGCGGTAAACGGCATCGGATACGCACGGACAAGGTCTACAATTTTTACTAAGGTTATTTTCAGGTCAGGTCAAAGATGACGTCACAGGGGTCGAAAAAGTCAAAAGGGCGGCGCTAGATATGGATAGTTTTTCTCGAATAACTTTCGAATTAGTCAAGATAGGAACAAACTAAGTGCATCATCGTGATCCTCTCGTCAATCTGCATCGCATGATATACATGTTGACCTCGAAAGGTCAAGGTCAAAGGTTGACCTCAGGTCACGTGACCTCGAGGTCATCATGTATATCATTCGATGCGTCTTGACGAGCTGAACACAATGAGACCATCCGCGCGGCTGTATCTTGTTCCTGTACGGAGTTATTGGCAAAAAACCTTTGGTGACCTTTGATGACGTCACATGACCTTACAGCTGCCCAACAGCAAAACAGACCTCAAGGTAGTGAAGGTTGATCGTATATGAAGTCATGTATGGTATATGGGGCCATTCTGACCCGTTTTAGTGGTAAAACAGGGAGTTGATTTTCCCCCATTGACTTATAATGGGAAGGTCGAGAAATTGACCTGACCTTAGGTCACCGACATCAAAATTCCGAGATATACAAATTGTAGCTACTAATGACCTTATAACATCCTGAGACTTTTAAAGGCCTCCGACATCTACTGTAGCTTTGGCACGGTGACAAAGTTGCAAAAAAGTGACTTGAGGTTGGGTCATTCAAAGTGACCTGTTGACCTGACCTTAAAAGTTAGGAGGTTCAAACTTGCACACCATGTGTAAAATTGATAAGGAAATAGTCATACCAAATTTCGCGGCGCTACGCGCCGCGGTTTTCCCACTATCTGCGAAAAACCTCAGGGGGGGGGGGGGGCGGATGCCGTGCCGCAGGTGCTGATCGTCAGCTGACTGTCCACTGTGTCCGC